GGGGGGGAATATTTATGTGATCCTCACTAGAGCCATAGATGGGGCAAAGCGTTTGATGTACCGTTCAACTCACAATTTCCACTAACAACAAAAATCGTTTTAGTGATCATTTGGGTTTTTTTTTTCCCTACATAAAAATATTTTTAAAAGTTTTCTTAGCTCCTCCATGCCAACTTGGATGGACTTAATTCCACCAGTGGCATCGGTCTCTCCTTCTGTTGGCATTTGATTTGCTGAAGTGGTTTTATATTAGTTGGAGGATTAAAAATTAGCATGGGCCAAACCTTTGAAAACATTATGCAGTTATAGTATAATATATAATATATTCATTATAATGAAACATTATGATTAAGAGGAATACAGAGACGAAGGAACAGGAAAAATGAAATTATTATTGTTGCTATTATTATTGTCGTGCCTAGAAGAAATGAAACTTCAGATTCATCTACGGTTTTTTTTTCTTTAAAAAGTTTCTTCGACAGAAGCCATTACAGGAAATGAGTTTCAATTTTGCACTATTGAACAAAAACATGCTAATTGTTGTTGTTTTTAAGGGACTTTGATGTCTACAGCTAATTTGTGACACTCCTGAATGTTGTCATTTGCAGATGGAGAAACCAATAATGTTGACGTTTGGGAGTTGAGTCTGAGTTGTCATGTCACCGTGTAGAAATCTTGCTCAGCCTTCAAATTGTCTCAGAGAGATTCAAGTCTATAGATACATCAAATTCAGAGTTATGTGTGTAAAACATTTCAAACTCAAAAGATTATTCTCAGCTTAAAGCCCAGAAGTTTTGAGATCAGAACAGTGTCGGAAAAATGCCAATATGTTGAGTTTTTGATGTTCTCAGAGCTTGGTTATTTTCTTGCCGATGTTTCATTATCAGGTTAGAGTCAAAACCAAACAAACAACTGAGTTCAGAGACTATCAAGAACCCAACTGATCAATCTTGAACTACGTATCTTTTCTCCTGTTGGACCTTCCAATAAGGTCCCTGTGACCACCAAAAATTTTGGAACTTATTAAAGAAATGGCTGGAAGAAATTTTGCTAATAGATATAGAGGCCAAACTGGATTTTTTTTTATTGGGAATTATAGAAAGAAAATATAAGAAAGATACAAATTATTTACTACTGCATATAGTAGTAATGACGGCACGAATAGCCTTCGCTCAAAAATGGAAAGAGAAAGATACTCCAACCGAAGAGGAAATATTATTGAAAATTTTCAATTGCGCTGAAATGGATAGACTTACATGGGAACTCAAGGATAAAAGTGAAACTAAGTACTACAAAATCTGGGAACAATTTTATGATTGGATAGACAATAAGAGGGTAGTCAAGACAAATGTATAGTGTTAGAATAAAATATAGATTATAGACAAATGTATATTTAAAAGATAAATAGATATACAGAAATAAGGGGGAAAGTGTTAATATTATATTATAAACTAGCTGTACCCGGCCACGCGCTGCTGTGGCTCAGTCTGGTAAAAGCGTGTGTTGCTTTTACGTCCAACAGATGGCGCTGTTTTTCAAAACATGTTTTTACCTGTCACAGGTGTGACATCTATATAATAGTAGGTATATAAAAACATGTGCGTATTCGAATGCAACGTTGTGTCAAAATTTCAAAGCAATCGGTGAAGAAATTTCGGAGATTTAAGATTTTGAACAAACGAACATTTACATTTTTATTTATATAGATAGATAGTAAGCAAAGCTCAAGAACTTTATGTCTAGATGAGTACTAATACTACTGTAAAATGTCGGAAGATGTATGGAACCAGTGACGTCATATCTATGTCCAATGTTTAATTTTGTATTATTAATAAAAAATTATAAAAAAGAGGTCCCTGTGACCACTTGAAGCCGCTGTTTTGAGCTCAAAATGGTTCCAAATATTTTCCACAACCCAGAAGAACTTTTTGAAGAATCTTCTTGTTTCAGAAAGTTCTGCTTTGTCAGCAAGTTTCCTCAAGACTTGCAGCAAAGGGCGCTCCTGGGTCAGGAAGAGAGTTGAGGACCGCCTCTCTCTGCAGGCCAAAGCTTGCCTTGACTTCTGCCCAAATGCTCAGCCCGCCCTGAGTGATTGTCCTTCATCTCTTCACAGATATGCCTCCACTGCTGCCAATGGACCTCAAGGGGGAACCTGGACCACCAGGAAAGCCGGGCCCGAGAGGACCACCTGGCCCGCCAGGCTATCCAGGCAAACCGGGCACCGGCAAACCAGGACATCATGGACAACCTGGGCCTGCTGGGCCCCCGGGCTTTTCTGGCATCGGGAAACCAGGCCTTCCGGGCCTTCCGGGCAAGGCTGGCATGAAGGGGATGCCAGGGCCGGCAGGGGAGACTGGCCTACGAGGAGAGCAAGGTCCCCGGGGTTGGCCAGGGCCACCGGGATTGCCTGGGCCCGCTGGACTCTCTGTGAATGGGAAACCAGGCCCAAACGGGAGCCCGGGCCTCCCTGGATTCCGGGGAGAACCTGGGCCCAAAGGAGAACCTGGCCTGCGAGGCGAGCGTGGAGCAAAGGGCGAGAATGGCATGGGGAAGCCCGGACTGACGGGCCCCCAAGGGAATGGGGGACTGCCTGGCCCTGCAGGGGCCCCGGGGCCTCCCGGCTTTGGAAAACCTGGCCTGGATGGGTTGCCTGGGGCTCCGGGGAGCAAAGGGGACTTGGGGCTTCCGGGTGAACCAGGGCTGAGTGGACAACCTGGGCTTATGGGCCCTCGTGGCCCTCCAGGTGTGGATGGCACCGGACTGCCCGGCATAGCTGGCATGCCGGGTTTGCCAGGCCCTTTGGGGGCCAAGGGTGAACCTGGCCTACGTGGCCTTCCAGGACTGCCTGGCCCTACAGGGTATGGGAAACCAGGGCTCCCTGGCCTAAAGGGGGACCGTGGGCAGCAAGGAGTGACAGGAATCATTGGTGACAAGGGGGAGCCTGGGATGGATGGAGAGCCAGGGGAGATGGGGCCCCCTGGCCTGGTTGGGGGCCCTGGCCCTCAGGGCGTCATGGGTTTGCCAGGCAAGCATGGGCTCCCTGGTGTAAAAGGTGAAGTAGGGCCAAGTGGGCCTATAGGACCCCCAGGCCTGCGGGGAGACCAGGGGTCCAATGGTTTTGTGGGCAAGCCGGGGATTCCTGGGGAGAGAGGGCTCCCCGGTGCCACAGGGATGTCTGGCCCAACAGGCCCCAAGGGGGAAGCGGGCTTCATGGGGCTTCCCGGGACCCCAGGCCCTTCTGGGCCCCATGGGACAAAGGGAGAGTCTGGGATCCCGGGCCAACCAGGCCTCAGAGGCCCTTCAGGAATACCAGGTTTACAAGGCCCCTCTGGTCCCATGGGGCCCCAAGGTTTGACGGGCTTGAAAGGTGAGCCTGGCCCCCCAGGGGCCCCGGGAATCAGCAGAGTCGGACAGCCAGGCATGATCGGTCCTACTGGCCCTCCAGGAGTTCCTGGCAACCCTGGGATCACTGGGCTCCCAGGCCCCCCAGGCCCCCCAGGGGCCCCGGGAGTCTCTCCTGCCAGAGATTATCAGGGCCACCACTTGCCCGATGGAAATGTTGACGGAGCAGTGCTGGGGAACGGCAAGTCCGGGAAACCCCAGTTTGGCCGAGGGGAACTCTCTGCCCAGATGTTGCCGGCTTTCACCGCCATCCTGAGTTCACCCTTCCCAGCCTCAGGAATGCCCGTAAAATTCGACAGGACTTTGTACAATGGGCAGAATGGCTATAACCCAGTAACGGGCGTCTTCACTTGCCCCATTTCCGGCATCTATTACTTTGCCTACCACGTCCACGTGAAAGGAACCAACGTCTGGGTGGCCCTTTACAAAAACAACGTGCCGGCCACCTACACTTACGACGAGTACAAAAAGGGCTATTTAGACCAAGCGTCGGGCAGCGCCGTGCTCGAACTCAAAGAAAACGACCAAGTCTGGATCCAGATGCCATCAGACCAAGCCAACGGTCTCTACTCCACCGAATACATCCATTCTTCTTTTTCCGGATTCCTGCTCTGCCCCACATAACGGCCGTTTGGGAGTAGCTCCTTTCTCCCCCTCGAGTCATAAACTTGTCTTTTTTGAAAAATAAAAAATAAAAAAATAGGAAAGTCACTGGGAAGGATGGCGCGAGCCACGATCACCTTGACCCAGCCGAGGAGAGCATCCGGGAGAGAGAACCGTTGCTGCTGGACCGTCTGGGGATTCGGAATTTGATTTATCCTTACGACGGCATGGCAAGGCAAGGCAAGGCCACAGATGCTGCCCGTCACGTCTTCGGGGCCCTCGAAAGTCAGAAAGGGTTTGGGAAAGCTGTGCCAACAACAGTCACCTTATCGTAACACCCAAAAGAAAGAAAGAAAAGAAAAAAATTAGTCGAATTTCCGTGGCAGAAGACAACAAATCGAGAATTTTACACTAAAGTCAGCAGCGGACTCCGTATTGCTTCTGGGTCTTCCCACTTAATACTTTAACACTTTACGAAACGAAATTCGTAGAAAATGCGTTCCGAGACACATAGAAAGTTCGTAGGGATTCGACGTTTTATGGGGAAAGGGATGGCAAAGAAACTCTTATTTCAAAGCCATACAGAGACTTCTAAAATCAACGGGGGAAAAAAGCAGGACTCCTTAAATCGTGCATTTTAATAGCCCGTGGGTAAAATAAACCGGTCAAATGTCCATCAGACGCAAAGCAGTAGTTTAAATGACTAAATATGCTTCTATGAATCCCGTGGCCCAAAACTATCTGAGTATTAAAGCCCTGCAGATATTGGTAATTTTATATATATATATATATAAAAAATTAACACTGAATTGTGTTAAGTTCAAACACCTTGTTACCACATTTCCTCAGGACCTGCAGACTGTTGACGAAGGTGGCCGTACCAAACTCCATAAAATATACGATATCTTTGTTTTAAAGTAAAATTCTTGGTTTCCCTTCAGTGTAATTTCCACAATGGTGCTAAGTAATATTTTCTTAATATTAGCTCTTTTAAAAGATATTTTGAGTAGTGCAATATCCTTTTTAAAAAGGTGCGAAGTTTAGCCTTGGGGTTTTTGCAGTTTTTTTTTTAAAGTAGCCATTTGTACCCTTTAAATACAAAAAAGAGGGTTTTTGTCATCAGAAGCAATAATTGCACGTGAAAAATACGCTAAGGATTCCTTTTTGCATAAATGATGGAAAATATAGTTGGATCTGATGAACTATTCTTTTTACAGATCCAGAAATGGCCAGAGCAACTTAGTATGTTTTTCAAATTTATTATAAACATATACTGTACATTTGAACAACTCAACTGCAACAATCAAGGCTGAATTTGTTGACAAACATTCTAGGTTGACAAGAGTGAAAAACATGCCTTGGACTGTAAAAAGAGCAGCAAAATAAAAATGCTGGGGAATAAAATATTTGGGTTATCTGCTATTTAAAATATTCTACCAACTGTCTTTATTTTTCCTTTAATCCTTTTTAGAAAAGAAAAAAAAAGCAACCTTGAACTGATTTGTCTGGTTAGGTACAACAAAAGAACAGGCTAATGATTCTAATTCCATCTGGTTATTTTCTAAATTCCTGAAGTTGACAATAATCCTAATGGCACACTCACAGGGGTAGTCAACCTTGGCTCTTTTATGACTCGTGGACTTCAACGCCCAGAATTCCTGAGCCAGCTAAGCTGGCTCAGGAATTCTGGGAGTTGAAGTCCACAAGTCATAAAAGAGCCAAGGTTGACTACCCCTGCGTCTAGTACTTGCAACCTTTTCACCTTGGTTGCCCTCGGGTGTAAAATTGAAGGAGCCACAGGGACACATTTTCTCCCTGCCTAATATTCAGAGGCCAATTTTAAAGGCTTGTTTTTTTTAAAGTCTGAATTTTAGAGGTCTTGTTTTAAAGTGTATTTTCCTGTGGGGAACAGCCTTTCGATCCTACTCATCACCCCATTCACTCAAAGAGAATACATTGAAGTGGGAAACAATGAAGTAGTCTAAGAGCAGAAGAGAATCATATAAATCCAGGTTTTTGCTCTTAGGTGCCCGGAATATCATTTATTTATAGCATAGCTCTACTGCACATAAAATCCATTTTCCTATGTATACAGGTAGTCCTTGACTTACAACCACAAACGAGCCCCAAATTTTCTGAGGTTAAGACAGTTGTTAAGGGAGTTTTGCCCCCTTTTACGACCTTAAATTGCCACAGGTGTTAAGTGAATCACTGCAGTTGTTAAGTTGTTACGTGAATGTTGCTTCCCTATTGACGTTGTTTGTCAGAAGGTTGCAAAAGCCGATCACATGACCCCGGGACGTGGCAACCGTCATAAATACATGCCAGTTGCATTCAAGCATTTAAAGTATTTTGATCACGTGACCATTAGGGATGGTCCTAAATGCAAAAGATGGTCATAAGTCACTTTTTTCAGTCCCACTGTAACTTCAAATGGCCACTAAATGAATGGTTGTTAAGTCGAGGACTACCTGTATTTGTCATTTGTGTGCCGACAAGACCCAAAGCAAAGTCAGTAGACAACATTTTCTCCAAATTCGAAAAACAGGGAAAAGTTTTTCAAAGTTTTACAACCTGGTTATTTTTTTCCCATACGAAGCACGGCCTTCTGTATGTATGCATAATAAACATAACCCCCCCAAAAAAGGAAGCCATCACATACAGGACGATGAAGTGTGGGCTGAAGAGACTAATTAGCAGACCATCCTTAGTTTATCTTTGTTGACATATACAGTATCTAATCTTTTTGTCAGAAAAGATTGGGTTTTTCCCAATTTGGGAGAACTTGTGGGAAATGAGTTTCAGTCAGCTGAAAACTGCAGGCCTGGAACGTCCTTACGACGTGCATCTTCATATACCATTGGGATATCCTTTAGAAAAAAAATTGTGCTAGTATCTTTGTTTCTACTATATAGAGGATTTTTTCTTGTTTAGTTTTGTAAATACTTATGTTACATGCACTGTTCATAGTAAATTCGTTTTGAAATGCACTCTTGTTTTGTGATCAGAAACTGGCCTTCACTTCTGAACCGAAGTTAAAGTAATTGACTGTATTTGATCCAACTTCAATAAATCTTATTTTACAGAGATTTGTATTTCCAGTAATCACCTGCAAACACGTGTACCTATCTTGACAATTTGTCTACAAAGCAATCCACCTTTAGGCCCATACGTGGCGAAAGAAAGAAAAAAAGCAGATGGCTTCTAAGCCCACAGGCATGCAATTATCTCTCCAGTTAAGGACCAGATTTGATTGCACGCTTGGGATAGTCCTTGGAATTCTTTTGGTTAATCAAAACAAGGAGTGAAAAACAATTTCAGGGCCGTCACCTTTTTGGCAATTAATTTGTTCGAGCCAGGAGGAAGCCAAATCTAGACACCTGGTCTGGCTTTTCCCATTTTTTAAAAATCTCTTTATGATTCTCTTGACCACCTAAAAAAAAAAAAAAAAACCAGGGGGGTACCCAGATGTACCTAATTATTATGAAAACCAGACTTTAGAAGACACTTTCCTCCCCGAAAAAATTACTTCTCTTTTTGTAGTGAAACTTAGAGAGACGGAGTCATTCTCTTTAATTCCCCTTGACCTCCTCCTCCTCCCTTTTCACTGGACGTAACTCGAGAGGGTGGGTTTTTGCCAAATTTCTGCTCATCCTGGAGAGAAACCATGTTGAACCATCTGAAGCCAGACATGGACTGGACTTCAGAACAGCTGCTGTGAGCCACTGCCTCCTTCTCCAATGGGCAAACGTCTGTCAAGGTCTTCCTGGACTATACTTGATATTATCACCCCTAACGTAGTAGTTGGCCTCTCCAATGTGTTGCCTCCCTAGACGCCGAAAACAGCCCTAAAGCCATCTTGCTAAGTTGGGCATCCCAACCCAAAAGAGCTGGCCCTTTTCACCTGATGTCAGCCTTTCCAGATAGACCCGCAAGTCCTGAATACTAAAATTATTTTTATTGTAGGGATTTTGTCTTGGTTTTGAGTCGATTTTGACTTCTGGCAATAATTACCTGGAGAGGTCCCTGCAAGTTTTCTTGGCAAGATTTTAGCCATTGCTTCTTTCCCAGGGCTGAGAGGGACTGGCCCAAGGTCACCCAGTTGGATTGTGCTCCAGGTGGGACTAGAACTCACAGTCTCCTAGTTCCTAGTCCAGGGCCTTAATTACTACAGCAAAGCAGCTCTGATTATAGGGCTACAGTAACAGAATCCTGCAACTCTGACGGTGCCTCTCCCCTCCCTGCCTTTATCCTAAACGAGTGATGGCGAACCTTTTAGAGACTGAGTGCCCAAACTGCAACCCAAAACCCACTTATGCATCATTGAGTGCCGGGTAGGTGTGGCCCATTGGCTGGGTGTGGGCCAATTGGGTGGGCGTGGCCAATTGGGTGGGCGTGGCTGTGGTGGTAACGGTAGACTGGGTGGGACTAAAAAGTTCCCATCAATCAATTTCAACTTTGCAAGATCTTTTTTTTCCCGCGAGAAGTTGAAATTGACTGATTGAACCCTCTTTTTTTTTTTGCACACGGCGGCAGACGCCTAAAGCAAAAAGGTTTTATAAAACCCAGCTGAAGGCCTAGGACTGGGACGACGGCGCACGTGCCCGCAGAGAGGGCTCTGAGTGCCGCCTCTGGCACCCGTGCCATAGGTTCGCCACCACTGTCCTAAAGAAAAAATAGAGAGGATCCAGTCTGGTAACACTTTCTCAATTTTCGTCCCTGTCTCGGGCTGAGATTTCTTATCTGACATTGCCTTGGTTGCAGCTATTCCTCAAAGCAGCCCATTTCATCTGATACGTTCAGAATCGGAGAGGTAAGCCACACACCAATGTTCATCCTTTGAAGGGGTCTAGATCCCCAACTTCAAGAAGCCCAGGACAGCCAAAGCTTTGTGGCTTTGTTCCATTGAGAGGATCCCCCATCCTTCTTCTCTACGACAGTTGGAGGATCCATCCAACCCCAATCTGTGAGGACCAAAACTGTGCTTAGGCACTCCACGGCTGCAAAGCAAAGGTAATTTGGGGCTGTGCTTAGTGCGCTCTGAGCTGGATTGTTTTATTGCAGACGTCTCATTACCCAACTAGGTAACTTCATCAGTGTTGGTAAGGAGTGGGTTGATTTATTTTCCTTTTTCCATCTTCACTCCAGAAGTTATTTTTTTTGTTTCAAAAGTGCTTCTGTATCAATGGTCCAATTTAGCCTGCATCGATGTATGAATGCCAAACTGTATACATGTCTGTCTTTTCAACTGCAGCGATAAGATTTGCTTACTTTGTGGCAATTGAGCTTTTATCCTTTTTTCCCTTCTATAACTTAAGACTGGGTAAAATAAATCACTTCCCAACTCCTTCCCTTGAATCCTTCACTTTTCCCTAATTGAAATGGCTCTACTAAACTCCCCAGAGACTATTAACTGTTAATTTGATTGCCTTGTGTGCCATTAGCCTCAATTACATTTGTTAAATTCCCCATAGTTTCTTAACTGCTTATTAATTTGATTGCCCTGCGTGATATTAACCTCAAGTAGGACTGATTGCTAACGAGACTTTCACTTTTCAGCTGCCAAATGCTTAAGCTTGATTAACAGGAGCTATGGCCTAACAAAACTGGCACTCTAGGAGTCTCCAAAACCACCTGTGTAGTGGAAGGTGTGCCTTTCCTGACTTCCATTATCAGCGCATCCGATGCACTTTGATTTATACTACAATAAATGCCTTAGTATCTATTTATTTATTTGTTTATTAAATCTATATGCCACTCATTTCACTACTGAAGTGACTCTGGGCGGCTATTAGTGTTTGCAGAGATGGGATTAATATCTCTATTAACAACACCCTCCTATACACCTGGTACTATCAGAGGTGGACTGACTGGGCAGGAAGTAGTGTTACAAAATACCCTGGCTCAACTTATAGTTGCTTACTCTACTCATGAGGCCAATGGAGACACATGGATCCACCTTAGTTGTTAAAAAAGCCACACAATTTATTGTCAGCGTTATATTCAATCCATTTCTGGTAACCAAAGACACATGTTCCAACTGCCCATAGAAGCAGCTTGTGCAGCTCGGCTTGACTCTCAATCTAATAGCTGGGTTAAATTGCAAACTTACATTTTTGTCCTTTGACTTTGTCCAAACTTTGGCCCATCTCAGTTCTTCTGGGGTGAGGATCTGCTTGGCAAACTCTCATGAAGCCCATCTGCTGCAAAGAGAACGCCCGGGACGACGAACTAAAGAGAATTTAGATTCTAACTAAGACGTAATTACAAAAATTTCAAAATTAGGAAAACAAAACAGCCAGGAGGAAATGATGGGTCAACAGTGACCGTGCAGCTGAAAAGAAGGGGCACTTTTCAACATGCGGCTTCAGCAGAAATCTTTGGCAGGCAGCCATTCACGATGGCCTGGGCCAGGGGTAGGCAACCTTGGCTCTTTTATGACTCGTGGACTTCAACTCCCAGAATTCCTGAGCCATAAAAGAGCCAAGGTTGCCTACCCCTGGCCTGGGCATTTTTTGGGGGGTGGGAAGAGAAACTTTACTATGGTGGAGACGATTCACATCCTTAGGAACATGATGCCAAAATGCAGACCCGGTGACCGGATGCCCAATCTTCATTAATGGCTCAAGCTGGCTGGTGGTAGCGTTCACACAAGGCATCAGCCAGCTTCTCTGCCTCCTCATAGGCTTCGCAGCTCTCTTTCCAACTTGGGGGCACCTGCTCTTCCCCGTAAAACGCTCCCGCCATAGCTCCCGCCATGGTTGCAATCGTGTCTGTGTCCCCGCCCAGCAAGATGCAGTACATGATGGTCCGTTGCAGACAGTTGTAGCTATCGGGGACATCTGGGTGAGATTCCATGCAGCGCAGGAAAGAGTAGATTGCCGTGGGGACAGAATGCAGGGCTGCAATGCCGTTGCCTGCGTTGAATCAAAAGATTCAATTACTTCTAGAGAGCAGAGAGCGGGTCTAGTTTTCTGCCACAAAGTGAACCAGACCACCTAAAAACAAATATTGTGTAGCAGGGGGTCTTCAAACTTGGCCTTTTTATGACATGTGGACTTCAACGCCCAGAATTCCTCAGCCAGCATGCCTGGCTGGGGAATTCTGGGAATTGAAGTCCACACCTCTTAAACTATCCGAGGTTGAGAAACACCGGTTTAGCTCTTTCTGAGTTAGCATTATTTCCCCCTCACATTATGTCAGGGGTCTTCAAACTTGGCCCTTTGATGACTTGTGGACTTCAACTCCCAGAATTCCTTATCACGGTATCCCACGCAGAAATTAAGGCTTTGTTCATTAGTCCACCATGATATTTAAGGATGTCACATCTCAGTTATTTTCTATGAAACATGCTGCAGCCTTCTTGCAAAACCGAAGAGCGAATTATTTCTTGTAACAATTTCACTATCCCTCGTATTTAGGAATGCACTTACCTAATTCTAGTAGCACGTCTGACCTGGACACAGTACCCTGTTCCAAAAACTCTTTGATCTTCTTCAAACGCTTGGAAAAGGGACGATCCTCGTACCCCAGCCTGATGAGAAGAGACAGAGTGTAAGGACCACCTTCTATCCTACATCTTAAGAAAGCAGAACTCTTGGAAACAAGTTCTTCCAACAGGAACTTTTATTAAGAGTAGTTGATAGCACGCATAATAGACAGGATCTGAAGAATTTCTTTACAGATCGATTATTTTAAAGTGTCCTTAAGCAAATCCCACCCCACAGTTCATCCAGACGATTCAGACCGGCCAATCCCCAGGTTTAAGTTCATCGTGGGGAGATAACATCAATCTGGCTCCATTACACTGCCCGGTTAGGGAAAAGAAAGTTCAGAGAGATGCATAGTGCAGGAGGCAATTTGTTACATTGTAATGGATAGCAGACACGAGTCAATAAACAAAAGATTACATTGTAGCGAATAGAGGAAGTGAAAGCAATAAACCCACATGCCTATCCCCCCTCCCCTTTGGAAGTATGGCAGAATCCAGGGAAAGGTGAGATTTGATTTTAGATCAGAGGAGATAGATAGAAATGGGATATAACTGGATTCTGACACCGAGGTGAAAATATTTCTGGGCGCCGCCCCCGTGTCTTATAGTGTTGATACTACTGTTCTTACATGTGTGCATCAGCCACAGACTTATCGTCCGCTTCCACATCTTCCATTTGGCCTATCAGCAGATCCAAAAACTTGTACCGATTTGACTCCCCGCGGAGGGCAAAATGGACCGCCAAGGCTTGCAAGATGGCGCCGTTGTAGCCCAAGGAGTTTGCGTGGGTCAGCTCGGCACTCAGTTTAGCAAACTGGAGCGAGAGAAAACAACTGTTTTAGAAAAACAGGAAAACTTAAAATTAGTGGAGAGGCAGCTTCCTTTACTATCTTAGTCCAGGTAGCCCTTGATCTACAACCTCAATTGAGCCCCAAATTTATGTTGCTAAGTGAGATATTTGTTAAGTGAATTTTGCTCCATTTTACGACCTTTCTTGCCACAGTTGTTAAGTCAATCACTGCAGTTGTTAAGTTACTAACATGGTTAAGTGCATCTGGCTTCCCCACGGACTTTGCTTGCCAGAAGGTCGCAAAAGGGGATCACACTTAGGGCAGGACACTGCAACTGTCATAAGTACGAGTCAGTTGCCAAGCGATTGAATTTTGATCACGTGAACATGGGGATGTTGCAACGGTTGTAAGTGTAAGAAATGGTCATAAGTCACTTAACTCACTTAATAATCGTCTCACATAGCAGCAGAAATTTTGGGCTCAATTGTGGTCATACGCTGAGGACTACTGGTATTAAGATTTAGATTTTCACAGTGGTTTACAATTTTCACTCAAGGTAATACAGTTTTATATATTCAATTAATACTTTAATCAACGAAATAAATTTTAAAGTGTACTATTTACAATCTGTATTATTTATTTACTGATATTTTATTTCCCATCCGTTATCCTCTTTTATCATTTTTTTTATTTTTATAGAGCAATTCTACATGATTGGGCATGTACATCTGACACGTATGTTTGGCTTGCTGATTCTCAGATGGACACCTAAAAACAAGGCCATATGCAGAATGTGTGTTTAAGGAAAAGTGCACTGTGCATTTAATCTAGAAACTTCCCAAATATGTCTTAATTTGTTAAACATCTTGGATGAACACCTACCGCTGTAAAGGTGTCTAAATCTCCTTTGTAACTCGTCCCCTAATCATCTTTGTTGCTCTTCTCTGTACTCTTTCTACAGTCTCTTTTTTTACATCGTGGTGACCAAAACTGGATGCAATATTCCAAGTGTGACCTTACTAAGGCCTTGTAAAGTGGTATTAACCCTTCACGTGACCTTGACTCTATCCTTCTGTTAATGCAGCCCAGCACTGTGTTGGCTTTTTTGGCAGCTGCAGCACACTGCTGGATCTTATTTAAGTGATTGTTCACTAGGACTCCAAGATCCCTCTCACAGTTGCTACTATTAAGCAAGGTACCCACTATAGTATACCTGTACATTTGGTTTTTCTTGCCTAAATATAGAACTTTACTTTTTTTACTGTTGAATTTCATTTTGTTAGATAGCGCCCAGTGTTCTAGTCTGTCCAGATCCTCATGTATCTTAAGCCTGTCTTCTGGAGTGTTGGCTATTCTTGCCAGCTTGGTGTCTGCAAATTTGATGAGTTCCCCGTCTATCCCCTCGTATAAACTGACAACGAACTGCATTCCTTACTAGCACTGATATTACCTAGTTTGAGTAATTAAATGTCTGTAAGAAAACAAGCAATCTCAGAGAGCACCAAGCCCCCCCTCATATCAACCCCAAGTTACAAATATTCTCCTTTATTAATTCCTGGACTGTCCCTTACACGTGGTTCCCAAACTAGCTAATATGATGATACAAATCGAGAGACAACTCCAAATCAAAATTCCACCACTGGGGCATATCCTAGCTTGTTACATCAAACAGGATTGCAGTTATGTAAAATGCCATGTAAATAGCTGGTGTGGCATCTAAAGCAATTAACTCACCTTCTTTACATCTTGAACATCAGAGTAAGCTAATGAAATGCCTGCTACTCTCATGGCACCACCGTTCCCATAGGAACCTTTCCCGTTAAACTGCTGCCTAGCTGGCTCAAACACATCTCTGCATTTAGGACTAAGCAGTTTCTTGAAGACAGTCACCACACCGCCTCCATAGGATCGGTCAGGATCCTTGTCATATTCTTCAGCAAACCTGCCAAGAGAAGACTTTTTGTTACAAAACAGTCCATTGACATTCTGTCTGCTTGGCAAGACACTAACAACGGGAGAAGGCTGCTTAATTAAGGGATACAGATGAAGCAATAAGGATTCGTTTAATCCATCTATGGGGATATGAATGGATCACACTAACTCAGAGCTCCGTTGTTATTTCTAAGATTTTGATGATTTAGCCCCGTGGTGGCGAACCTATGGCACGCGTGCCACAGGTGGCATGCAGAGCCCTCTCTGTGGGCACGTGCGCCGTCGACCCAGTCCCAGGCCTTCAGCTGGGTTTTATAAAACCTTTTCGTTTTAGGCCTCCGTCACTGTATGCAAAAAAAAAAAAAGTTCAATCAATCAATTTCAACTTCTCGCGGGAAAAAAAAGATCTCGCAAAGTTGGAATTGATTGAACTTTTTAATCCCACCCAGTCTGCCGTTACCACCGCAGCCACACTCACCCAGTGGGTCACGCCCACCCAATGGGCCACGCCCATCCGGCACCCGATGATACATAAGTGGGTTTTGGGTTGCAGTTTGGGCATTCGGTCTCTAAAAGGTTCGCCATCGCTGATTTAGCCCAATCGCTTGGATTTGCATAATACACCAGGCTTGGAGGGAAGATGGGCAGCATAGAACATTCATAAATAAATAAAGTTAAAAAGCAGTTGGTATCAGAAGTGCCACCTCATTGCCAGTCTGCCACGAACCTTAGGGGAAAGCTGGAAGGAAGGGCGAGGTCCTGTGGCAGGGGTAGGCAACCTTGGCTCTTTTATGACTCATGGACTTCAACTCCCAGAATTCCTGAGCCAGCTCCATGAGTCATAAAAGAGCCAAGGTTGCCTAGCCCTGTCCTGGGGGAAAGTGAAACTGAACTGTGAGAATCCTTTTCTTTCAAAACCAAGGAAGTCATCCAGGTCGTTTCCCTGGGAGAAGAATGCCAACACGTAGAGTGACTGTTTTCAAACATCTCTGGACCATGAGAGATAAACAATGGGAAGGGAACAAGGGAGAAAAGTTAACTGGGAAAATTCGGGCGCGAACTCTCAATTCTGTCTTTGCATCACTGTAATTTACTTGACTTCTAGTAAACTACACCTTTCTCAACAAATGGAACTAAAGATCATTTTTAATTAGAAGCCCAAGTTGAGGCAGGTCTGACTGCTGGCTTGTTTTGTGTAGACCAGGGGTAGGCAACCTGGGCTCTTTTATGACTCGTGGACTTCAACTCCCAGAATTCCTGAGCCAGCCACTCTGAGGGGAAAGGGAGAGGTTGCCATGCTGAGCCATGCTGGCTCAGGAATTCTGGGAGTTGAAGTCCACGAGTCATAAAAGAGCCCAGGTTGCCTACCCCTGAGATACTCCAATAGTATTTCCTCTGTCTAGAAAGAGCCACATTCCTTACCTCTTTGCCATATCCACTTCATCAAAATCTTTCGTGGCCAATAGTGACCTAACTAGCGAGTGGGCCAAGGCTGTGTCATCACTGTAACAGAGGATTTCTGGGGAGCAAACAATAAAAGCAATATATATTATACACAGAGTCATATCTATGCATGCAACTCATTTTTATTTTATTTTCAAAGAAAACGAATCAGCAGTTTTGTTCTTCTTGATCACAACAGCCCTTTGCAGACACTCGGTGGCTAAGATGTGTAGACATAGTCACTTAAGTTACAATATAATTTTAAGTTATGACAGCATATTGGCTATGTGACTGACCCAATTTTATGATCTTCTTTATGGTGGTTGTTAAATGGATGCCACAGTTGTTAAACAATCCCATGGTTTGCTATGGCCCAGTTTTGTTGAAAATAGGAAATAATAATAATAATAATAATAATAATAATAATAATAATAATAATAATAATAATAATAATAATTATTTAATTTGTACCCCGCCCTTCTCCTCACCGGACTCAGGGCGGCTAACAGCCTTATAAAACCACAGTACAATAAATATCCATTAAAACCAAATTAAAAGAAAATATTTGAAAAGGCCAATCGTTAAAATTACCCTTAAAATTTGCTGGGTTTCAGCAAAATCTTCGTAAAATGTGGTCATGTGACCGTGGGATGCTGCAAATGGTCATAAATGCAACCCAGTTGCCTAGCGCCTGAAAGGCAGTCACATGACTGTGTGAGGGGGAGTCATTGGAACTGCTAATCCAGGTTGTAGATATACCCCAGGAAGGCCTGCCATAACTTTGAATGTTCACCAAGCAAATAGTTGTAAGACAAGGATACAGAGGCATGGGTAAATATGAAAACCCATCGCTATGCCTCTGTACGTCTGGACGCTTCAAAAAAAAATCTTCTTGAATTTAATATGAAGATTCAAAGAGAACCGTACAGGCTTTGGATCAAAACAATGTTTATCCAAAACCGAGGATCTTGAAAAGTAGTCTGGAGTCCATAAACGCGGTGGTTATTCCTCACCTCACCTTAAAAATAAACAGGAATGTTGCCATTATTTTTCTCTTTAGCTCAACTGCTAAAAGTGAACCACAGAAAGAAAAACTGAACAAAATTGAAAGAGGGCAAATTAATTCTAGCACTGTGGTCACGAAGTGATTCATTCTTCTCAGGCTGCAACTTTGTCATATTAAACACCAGAAGTTTAATAAAAATCTAACGAACTTTTATTATGTCATGCTTTTAATTATATTTTAAAAGCATATAATTTTAATATCTGAATTATCATAATATTAAATAATTATTTTAATTATGTTTGAAAATTTAATAATTTAAATAAAACAATACTTTCAGAAGTTTGGCTGATGTTTAGGAAACATTTTTTTTATTAAATGCAATCTGACAATACTGCACTAATATTAACTGCAGCCTAATTTTCAAACAGTATTATGGTAAATAAAGTAATGGTAGTATCACTCTTAATAGTGGTATAATACTTTCTCCTTGTCGATAAAGGGGTAGTTGTCGCATTGATGAATCTACCAATTTGTTTAATAAACATAAATCTGGCAAATCTGACATGAATATTGTTAACTTTAGTCACAATAACTCTACATGCAGTTATTGCTAATTTAGGTGAGCATTTACAGTACGAAACATTGATTGGGCAAGATAGAAACCACAGCAATTGTTCCTGTTTGCACATCTAGGAAGCAATCCCGGCCCTATTTGGTGATGCAATGTCACAAATTTAACCACACTTTTATCCTTCTTAGCTACCCATCATTACAAGAACAGCGGAGAAGCCAGCAAAAACAGCCTCAACCTTTTACATCTGGAAAAGGTCTCCTATCCCCCATATCTCACCTTGCCCTTCCCACCCTGGGAAGGGAACAAGAATTAAAGCAGCAATCAGGAGTTTTAGACCTAACAATCATCATCATCATTATCATTATCATCATCATCATCATCATAACAACAACAAAAATATATTAAATAATAAAATTATTATAATAAAGTTATTTATTAAAATATAAAAAACAAAATAAGGAAATGAAATAAGAATATGAAACACACAATGAAAACTCAAAAGTAAAATAAATAATAAGGTAAAAGGCGCAGGAAGTAATTCAGGGGTAGGCAACCTTGGCTCTTTTATGACTCGTGGACTTCAACTCCCAGAATTCCTGAGCCAGCCACTCTGAGGGGAAAGGGAGAGGTTGCCATGCTGAGCATAGCTGGCTCAGGAATTCTGGGAGTTGAAGTCCACGAGTCATAAAAGAGCCAAGGTTGCCTATCCCTGCCAGTAATCCAAGCAGAGAGTCCTAACTGGGGGAGAGGGGGTGTCTCCCGCCAGGGATCTAGCCCAGACCCCGAGGCAGCCACCCACTGGATCCCCCAGGCCGTCCCGCTCCGCTCACTCGAAACCCGCCCGCTTTCCGACTTTCCGCCGCCGCTGCTCTCCTCGCCCGGCTCCGCGGCTGAGCCTCCCCGGGGCGGCGACGGCAGCGGCCGTAGGGCACGCACGAAGCGGAGCAGCTCGGCCGCGCTGACCGACTCCCGCGCCTCGAAGCCGCCGCCCAGGCAGTCGCCCAGCAGAGCGCCGAGCAGGCAGCCCCGGCAGCGGCTCCGCCTCAGCAGAGAGGCCTTCGCCGCCATCTTGCGTTGAGGGGCGGGGCCTCCGCCCGGCCCCGCCTCCTTTCTCTGCGCCTCTTCCGCCAGGTGAGGCGCGCAGTCCCGCGAAGCCCCGCCCCTTCTGCGGACTCTCCTTGCCGGCGCTTCGCCTGCCGTGCCGGCCTCCAGATGTGCCAGATGTGGGCAGGGAAAGCGGGAAGGAGCAGACGCGCCCTCCTTTTGGTCCTCATGTCCTCCTTCGTTGGCCTGGAGGTTATGAGAGGTGGACCTCGACTTACAACCGTTGAGTGACCGTTCGAAGTTACGACCTCAGTGGGGAAAAAAGGGGACCACTTTTCACACTTATGACCATTGCAGCATCCCCGTGGTCACGTGATGCTTGGCAATTGATTCATGTTTATGACAGTGGCAGCATCCCCAGATCATGTGAACACCTTTTGGGATTTTCTCATAAACAAAGTCTGTGGGGGACATATCATCACCATCATCATCATCATCCTAGCCATGATCTGTCCATTGCAGGATAATAATAACAATAACAACAACAACCTTACTAGGAACTGCTTCCATCCTGCAATGATATCTGTAATAACATCAAAGCAAAGGTAGTACCAATAGTAATAGGCACCTTGGGTGCAATCCCAAAACAACTGGAGCACCACTTGAACACCATTGGCATTGACAAATTCGCCATTAGTCAATTGCAAAAGGCGGCCTTACTAGGAACTGCTTCCATCCTGGGACGATATCTGTAATACCATCAAACATCCACATCTGCCTATCCCAGGTCCTGGGTAAGGACTCGAAAGATAGACAAAATGCCAAATCCAGTCTGAACATCTGGCTGACTGTGCGATGATCCATAATAATAATAATAATAATAATAATAATAATAATAATAATAATAATAATAATAATAATAATAATAAAGTTGGAAGGGATCTTGGAGGTCATCAAGTCCAACCCCCTGCTCAGGCAGGTAACCCTATACCATTTTGGACAAATGGCTGTCCAGTCTCTTCTTAAAAACTTCCAGTGTTGGAGCATTCACCGCTTCTGGAGGCAGGTTGTTCCACTGGTTAATTGTTCTAACTGTCAGGAAGTTTCTCCTTAGTTCTAGGTTGCTTCTCTCCTTGGTTAGTTTCCATCCATTGCTTCTTGTCCTGCCTTCAGGTGCTTTGGAGAATAGCTTGACTCCCTCTTCTTTGGGGCAGCCCCAGAGATATTGGAAGACTGCTATCATATCCCCCCTCATCCTTCTCTTCATTAAACTAGACATACCCAATTCCAGCAACCGAAGCCAGATTCACTTAACGACAGGGTTAAATTAACAACTGCAATGGTTCACTTAGCAACCGTGGGAGGAAAAGTTGTGAAATGAGACAAAACTCAGTTAGCAACATAAACTTTGGGCTCAATTATGTTGGTAAGTTGAGGACTACCTATTTTCCAGTGTTTTGAGTTTCACGAGGTCTTTCTGGACTGTTTCCACAACAGGATCCAAGCTGTGTTAATCTTCTGTTTGCACAACTCTGGTCAATCAAACTCCTGTGTCTCCTTACCTTGTAAATTGTTTCCTTCCGCACTTTCCAGTGATAGGTTTATATGAATTAATTTATTTCCTGTTTCCAGCCAACTACTTCAACCCAGGTCCTTGGGGTCGAGTTGTCCATGTGCACTGGAGCTTTCTTGCAAACAAACCCATCGCAAAATTTGGAGACTGGAATACTTCAGTCTCCTACTTAAGTAGACCACATTAACCTCATCTTTCGAAGGGAGAGAAAACTCTTCAATGGGATGGAAATTCAGGAGTTCCCTCCTACAGATTTCTTCCCAGCACCGGGCACAAGTTGAAGCAAGCTTGTCAGAAATCTCAAGTAGCATCAAAAACCACTCGTGAATCTTAATGGCTTGACCACACCTGTAGCCAAGGGCAGCCTTTTTAATGAGTCATCCAATTTTTTTTTAAGCAATATACCAAAGATGTGAGAAATCAAATAAAGAGCAAATTACACAACTCTGGGAAGGGGCAAGGAGAAGATGACTTGAGTCATTCTAATCCAAGGCAGACAGTAGCCTGGTTTGGTTGGAGATCAGTCCTGGAAAAGCCTACGATGTTCTCACTTATCCTAGGCCAGCTCCAGTTGCCGGCTTTTGAGAGGTGAGAGAGTACGGTTGGTCGTGCGGTTGAAAGTGTCGACTTCTGGCACAAATTTCTCAGCCGGAACCGTCAGCTTTCGCCTGCCATCCATACACTTGTTATCCAGCACCAGAGAGTTCATCTTGTAGGAAATATCTGTCTGGATGCGGTACAGGTGCTTATAGAGGGCATCCAGAGCATCCCTGCAAAAATGAAAAGAAGAGGGTTACACCTACACGCAACTTCCTGTGCAGAAGGAAATGCACAAAATCTGCACGGATATCCTTAACTATATCACTGTTGAAGAATAAAGTGGAAATAAAATCCAGATCCCCCAATCTCACTGACTTATTTCATATAATCTAGTCTGCTT